GATGGGAAGGAGAGAGGGGGCTAAGGGGTGCCCGGAGTGGGGGCAGGGCCGGCGGGGTCCTAGGCTGGGCGGGAGCCGGGAGGAGAAGACTGGAGTCCGCTCCGCATCCTAGAGCCAGGAGAGACTGGCAGGGACGGAGCCCGCTCGGGTAGCCCGAGGGCCCGGGAAGGCATCTGGGCTGCGCTTCTGCAGCCAGCTCCGCGCCGCCCGACCCTATTCCTCAGCTGGAGAAGGGCCGGGTGGGGCGTTCCCGCGCCCGCCTAGTCAGCGCCAGCCCAGGGGCCGCCCGGCAGGTGACCGCGCTGCAAACACGGGCTTTCTGGCTCCTCGGACCGGGCTGGGTTTGCCTCATGCAGCACAGAAACATCCCCCAGCCCTTCCGCTCAGGGCTCGGGTCCCAGCCTGGCCAGCAGCCGTCCCTGGGTGGGCTGGGAACGCGGAGCGATCGGGAGCCAGGGAACAGGAGTGTGTCAGTCACATATTCCACGTAACTCCAGGGCGCTTTGTCAGCCTTGGATGGAAGGCGTAATGTGCATGCTATTATTATCTCCTCCTTGATCATTTTGTCCTTCAGCCAACAGTAGAAAACGTCGTGTGTGACCAAACCCTTTTTTAAAAATCAGGTTAAAAAAAAAACCACTTAGATAAAACCCATATGCCCAATGAGTTTCTATAGAAAAATGAAATGATTGTCTAGGAACTCAGGCAGAAATGATCATCCATTTTTCAAGAGCTCAGTTCACTGACTGATCCTTAACCCAGACTACGTAATGAGAGTTTTTTAAACATAAAATTGTTGAAGTGGTTTAGTGTAAGCTACCTGGTGTATCTATCAATGAACAGTAATTTGCTTTTTCCAGTACAATGTGGATTTTTCCACCGAGTAAACCATCTCCTGTCTGATCTGTATGAAAATATTATTTTTAGGCTATTTGAAACAAGACTTTCCCTATGAATGATTGAAAAGACATATATATATATAGGGCAAAGGCTATGTTTATGTTTTATTCATAAGTTTACAAAATAAATGGTTTAATTATGGATACAGGCAATTGTGCACCTAGAGAGATGCAAGTTTTGTGTTAGCAAATAAAAGACTCTGGTACCACAAAGGTATGCATTCTTCCACAGAATTAGGTACATAGTTGCAATGCTCAGTTATTTGATTCTACAAAAGGTGTAACTCGTGCATACAAATTATTTACGATATTATAAATGCAAATGCATATAAAAGCAACATTGAAATAACTATATAAACTGTAGCTATTAAAATAACACTTGGAGAAATATTGAAACATTAATGTAAGGTATTTCATGTATTATACTAATTTCAACTATAGCACCCAATTTTATGCACATTAATCAGAGAAAGCTGAACAATGCAATGGAAAGGACTACATCCTAAAGCATATGTTAAAAGCTAAGAGTAGGAATTGCCATATTGGAACTAATGGTCCATCTTTCACTAACAAATCCTATCCTTTTACTAATAAACAACAATCCTGTCTGCTCCAGAGGTGGTTATAACATCTCACCCTACCCTACATACACATTTATCCTGCACCAATTAGTGCATACTACAATTAATACTACACAATGGACATTTTCTAAATGACTATAGCTGGTGGTCAGTTTGGCTTCTTATACCACATCCATCAACATGATGTTTGAGCACCTGTCAGGGCTTTTAAGATCTATCTAGTTTTTATTATAATGTTGTCTCTCAAACATTAATATGAGCAAAATGCTTGTCGTCATATTGGTTTTTCAGAAAATTATACATTTTTATTGAACTAACAAGTAAACTAGAAAACATAAGCTTTGGGGCTTATATAGCTAATACAAGAAACACTATATATATTTGCCAGTCAGAGATGTAGTTCTAAGAAAGATTAAAAAAAACTTGTTACTATTTTCTGCTTTCATTCCATTTGTAAACAGGTAAATAAAGACATACCAAGGAGCCTTATGTTCTAAGTCATATTAGTGCCCTCAGTAGGCCCAAATCCTACATTCCTTGTATATCCCAAACATTGACTTGAACTGGAGGTTTTGGGGGTGCAGGGAATGCAGAAATGGGTGCAACAAAATTAAATTCAAAATACAAGCTAGTGTTTATTTTCATAACTTTGGAACTATAACTTATTTTTGGATGTTATGTTTCAGAGTCTGTTGAATGGATTAGTGTGTTACAAACCTGATGACCCAATAGAATATTTGGAAGGATGTTTACAAAAAGTGAAGGAACTGGGAGGGTCAGAAAAAGTGAAATGGGACACGTTTGTTAGTCAAGAAAAGAGGACATTACCCCCACTCAATGGAGGACAATCAAGAAGATCCTTTTTCAGGAATGGTAATGTATATCCTAGAGCTGAATATTTTGTGTATCAGTGTAATATTAGGCAGCTTCAGATCCACTATTTTAAAAATGTATATTTACACAAGTTATCTTGTACTGCTATGACAAATTAGATGTTACACTTCTTTGGGGGGAAAGTTGTAGAACTACAGACATATATACACCAAAATATTTTAAACAAATGTGCAAGCAATTAATGACCAGTTAAACCTGAAATGGTAATTTATTTAATTATTTTAAAAACTATTTTCAAGAGTGGTTGTTTGTTATTTTTTGGTTTGTAATAGTGGGTGGGTTGTTTTGTTTTCTCATAATGGTTGTTACGTAGGGGGGAAACTGATCAAAATTATGCCTCCTATGATGAAGTAGTTTGATGCAGAGGGGGAAGAGGTGTGTTGTCAAAGCCATGGTTCCTGGAGGCATTATGCCTCAACTGGTGTATGGGGAAGTGCTTGGAGATGCAACCCTTGCCAACACATTTGAAAAGGTGCATCCTGGTGCTTGACACACAGGAAATGCAGCTCTGCTGATGCACACACATGTTCTTTCCCTGGCTGCTAGCACTCTTGACCATGCCATAATTGGCCACCATAATCCTGCAGCTAAATGATGAATGTTTGTTGTGTGGATACGCTGCATTGTGGGAGAGTAACACATCTACATATAGACATAATTCAGCCTCAGATCTTGACAGTATTTGGGCCAGGTCTTTAACTGGTCCTCATGAGCCACACACTCATTGCCTTCAGTGGATCTACACTGCTTTACACCAACTGAAATTTTGTCCCCGTATGTTCTAAGCAGTTATTAGAGCTGTACATTAATTTACTAACTATAATGTAGATGAAGGAATGATTTAGAACTGATGTTTCTCAGTACATCTAAATCTGTCATATCAATACATGCCATTCATATATTAGTAACATTAATGATCAGTAATTAGTTCCTTTTCAAGTTGCCATAGTTATTCCTCCTATCCAATATCTGTATGCAACATAAAAAGAGTTTCCACTCACAAAATCATAGATCCCAGGGGATCTACAGGAGATGAGGAGGGCCATCTGCTCAGACGCTTGTGCCTTCCTGCTGTCTGCGAGGGCAGATTTTCATTGAAGAATAAAAGTATTTTACCATAAATGCAAGCTTGTAAATTTCAAAAGACACTAAAGATATCTTATAAACTAAGAACTAGTTGTTTAAAATTGAATAAACCAGCTGAGTGGAGAGACTCAATACCCAATACTTCTAGTAAGTAAAATAGCATTTGAGATATTGAAGAAATTTTGTTACCACTATATTTCTTAATATAGCAACACTAGTCTTCTTTGTGTCAACCTCATTTAATAAAAAAATGCAAGTAATGTTGACTTTGCTATTTATTTCCACTATTTCCCATTTATTTTATTGTTTTGCAGTGATGCCTGACAATCCTAACTTTCCTTATCGACGATATGACCGACTCCCTCCAATCCACCAATTCTCCATAGAAAGTGACACAGATCTTTCTGAAACTGCTGAGCTAATTGAGGAGTATGATGTATTTGATCCTACAAGACCTCGACCAAAAATCATCCTTGTCTTAGGTATGAAGGCAAAGTGAGGGTCAGTTGTTTGACAAACCTGTATTATTATTCTCTCTTCATTGATATTTATAATGTAAATAAATCAGATGCCTACCGTGTTTAAATGTAAACTTTCTACTTAGGTTAGGGAAAGAATATGGTCCAAGTGCAAACTATGTCTCAGGTTTGGTTGCCAGATAAGAAAGTATAGTTGTCCACAGAAAAGGAAAAAAAGAAAACACCTGTAAAATTAGATAAACTAGATCCCTGGTCTCATGTGACCTGCGCTTAAAACTCCTCGATGCATTAAATAACCAGCATATCCTGCCTGAGTGAAAGCGTGTCTCTTCAGCCCACTACTTTGATAAATTCATCTCTAGCTACACTCAGCCAGTTGTGTCATCAGTAAGAATGAACTACTTATTTACACACTTTTCATAAAATTCATTATTGCTTGTTGCTTAGTGGCATTTGCAAGCAAACTAATAATTTTCAACCTTAGGTAAGATATGCTAATCACTCAGTATGCCTATAATTTAAATCCAGGTCAATAGTTTGTCCAGTGGACATGAAGCATTTGCATTTCACTTGTTTGGATTAGGTTTTTTGTTGTCTGGGTGTTATATTTCCAAATGCCAAGAGGGCCTGATTTTCAAATGCCATATCAGGGCCTGATTCTCCAATGCTTTGCACCATATCTAATCATTTATACCTGTGCAAAATGAGTGTAAATTGTGCCAAATCAGACTTCTCCTCTCACTTACACTGGTGGTAGTGTTTTGTGCCCATTTTGCACTTACTTCGCATATGTGTAAATGACTACACAAGGTGCAAAGCAGTCAAGAATCAGATTCTGAATCTAAAAGGACTTATATTAAAGGGAACAAAATGCAATCTCCATGAGTGAGGATAATGTGTGTGTCTCCTCTACGATGTACAGCAGAAGCGCTGAGAACAAAATGTCTGCTGAACTCTGCACACAGGGAGAGTTCTTAGAAATGTAAAGGGCAATACACATAAAACAAAAAAGCATCACATTTTCATAGCTACTGGTGCATACCCCTCATAGGGCTGCTAGACAATGGTGTTTTCCTCAGCCTGTTGCTCCTACTTTCTAATGCAGAAATCAAAACATGGGGAAATTCCAGAGCCTTCATATTCTTTGAGCTCTATGACCTTCGGCAGATGGAGAAGTAACACAAATGCCTTTTATTTTTCTTATTTTAACAAATAGATGGCCGTCCTTTTCATAAGGGAGCAAATCCAGGCCTCTCTACTCTGTGGCCATGGAAGGCCCTCATGCAGTGGAATCAATGTGGTTCCATTGCACAAGTAAAGTGGGTGAAGACTGGATGTAGGTGAAATGCACAGTAAGCGTGCACTCCTGGAACAGGGTGAAGTTCTACTCAGCGCGTGCTTCCTGCCCGACGGCATGTAAGGAGCAGGGGATGGGTACTGTGAAGATCTTTCTGTTTCCCATCTAAAGGGGAACTCCGTAAGCAGCCTACAAAAGCTACTTCAGCCATTGGGCTGACTTGCCCCCATTGAATGGCTCTGAAGCTTAGCAGGAAAAGAATCCTCTGTTGGAAACGCTGTCGCACGTGGCATATAACAGCTACTTTCAAATTCTTTACATTATCCAAAAAATAGCAACCAAATTCAACTTCCTCCCTCTTTGGAAACACGCTTGTCAACTTAAGTCATACCAAGAAACATCAAATCTGCAAAAGAGGAAAATGGATAATTATTTGACATGGGAAATAATTTTGTACTTGTCCTCCTAACTTTATTCTCTGAACTTTTCCTCATTGTTTCATAAATCAGTTTGGTATAAAGGTAATTTTCTGACTGATAAAAACTTACTTCAGATATGAGAAGGTTGTGAACCTTTGATACCCAATAATTTGTGGCTTAATTATTTTTTTTGGGCACAAAACTAAGATGAAAGCATAGAAATACAGGACTTTGTGCACTTCCTTTTTATTATGTGTTTCATGGCAAAGGAAAGTTCCCTGAAGATAAGAGTGAAACCCTCCCCCTTTACTCCGCATGCCGTGTCCTCGCTCCTCCCCCCTTCCTCCCCCGCCTCCTGCCCACAGCAATCAGCTGGCTTGCAGCGTTCAGGAGGCAGGAGGGAGGGGGCAAAAGCGAGGACTCGGCGCGCAGGCTCCCCCTCCCTCTCCTGCCTCCTGCCTGCGGCAATCAGCTGGCTTGCGGCGTTCGGGAGGCAGGGGAGGGAGGGGGAGCCTGCACACCGAGTCCTCGCTCCTCCCCCCCCCTTCCTTCCTGAACACCACAAGCCAGCTGATTGCGGTGGGCAGGAGGCAGGGGGAGGAGGAGGAAGGCGCTGATCCATGGGGTCTGCCAGCGGGCTGGAGGCGCTGTGGGGGAAGGTGTAGGGGAGCTGATGTGGGGCTGCCAGCTGTGGACAAAGCAGGCAGCCAAACGACGTTATAGCGAAGCATTGCACAACTTTAAATGGAGCATGTTCTGTAATTGAGCAGGGATGTAAGATCGAAACAACGTTAAGTGAGAGGACATTGAATGGGGAGTTACTGTATTTGCTTCCACTGTATTACTTTATTTTTAAAAGTACACAGAAGGATAAAACTAATTCTGAATGGTTCTTAAATTCTTGGGGTACCTGAAGTGTATATGACAGAAATCATTACATATACCAATTCTCTTATACCTTCTCCACTCATTTAACATTTTAAAGTATGTTAATTTTACAAACTCCAGAATTTTCTGCAGACATAGGAATAGACATTGATACTCCTATTCCATGAGTAGTTCCATTGACTTAACTGCGACCACTTGTAGACTAAAGTACATTTTTAATGTGAATAAGGTCATCAGAATATCCGTCCCTCCATTTGTATTCTGTTAGTAATAGCTTTCCTTAACCGAAATGCAGAAGAGGGCTTGATACTCTTCTTCCTTACACTAGTATAAACCAGGAAAAGCTCCACTAAAGAGGTTAGTAAAGGGAGGTAAGTGAATGGAGAATCGGGCCCAGAAAGAATAAGCTCATCTGTTTTTTTGACTCATGCAGATATTTTATTTTAGATTGTTAACTTTAGGTTCGGTCCCGCAATAGATCCACTTCCACTGACTTTGATGAGAGTGTTAACTATGAAACATCTGCAGGATTTGATTTGATAGTACACTGGGAGATGTCATAGTGAATTTGACATTCCAAATGAAAGCACAATTTTTTGCTTATTTTTACAATAGGTGGCCCAGGAAGTGGGAAGGGAACCCAAAGTTTGAAAATAGCAGAACGTTATGGATTTGAATACATATCAGTTGGTGAATTGTTAAGGAAGAAGATCCACAATACAAGCAGCAATAGAAAATGGAGTCTAATTGCTAAAATAATTACTACGGGAGAACTGGCCCCTCAGGTACAACTCACCTAAGAAATACCTTCTCTTTGGTAAAAGATTTTTACATGCTGCGTTAATGTGCATCACCAAAAAACTTTTAAAACTATTTCTCTCCATGAAAGGAAACAACCATAACTGAGATAAAGCAGAGATTAATGCAGATTCCTGATGAAGAAGGTATAGTTATTGATGGATTTCCAAGAGACGTTGCACAGGCACTCTCCTTTGAGGACCAAGTAAGAGACTGTCTTTATTCTTAAGAAAACGTATGTGTCTCATATCATTGTTAAGCTTCTTGAAATTAATGAGCAGATTCTCAGCATTGCTCTTCAAATCTTTTCAAATACATAATTACAGTTGACAAAAGGTCACTTTCTTGGCATATACTTTAGAGTATGAAGACAGAAAATTCTGTAAAAAGACAGAATGTGATAGTGGAACCAAATAAGCCTAACCTTCTGCTGATGTAATGAAAATCCTCCCAAGTTCAAGGGGAAAAAATAGAACAATTTTCATACATTAATCATTTAGGAAGGGAAAAAAGTTATCCTTTAATATTTAATTGTACAATTTAAATGTTCATTAAGAGAAACACATTGCAATCAATGAATTCCTTCACAATCAAGGAGGAATGGTCTCAAGGTTATTCTGAGGTGCTGAAAAGACGGAAACAAATGCTAAGATTAAAATTGCCTGCATTTTTGTGAGCTCACTTAATCCAGTAGTGGTCATCTCATTTTAGAAATAGTTGTCTGTTGGCTTGCCTAGTTCTGATTATTGAAATCAATTTAGTCAGATAAAATGATTGCGTAGTAAAATACAGAGTCTATCAGGATGACATAGACGTGTATGTAGACATGTATATAAGTAAATCTAAAATATGTAAATGTAATTTCCACTTGGGTGCAGTGTTGTGAGGAAAAAAATGTTATTTAATCTTCTGGTTAAACACAGTAACATGTAATATTTCCTTATGGCAATATGCAAAGGTTACAATTCAATATTGCATTTCTAGCATGCTTTTCAAGCAAACCATTTCAGAGTGCTCCACAATCACTAAAAGCACTAATTATCATTTCTGTACTTTGAATTCTAAATGGAATTGCCTCAATAGAAGTAACAAAAAGAAAGCAGCCTAATGAGGCTCTTCATTATTGCTCTTTTATAAGGTATAATTCTGTGTGAAGTGCAAAAAATCAAATTGTGAAAATTAAAAGAAACTGACAAAATAGTTATTATGGAAAACAGTTGATGACTGCCAGCTACATTTGCTTATAAATTAAGAAAGGAGAAGTTTGTGGTTAATGTTAATTATTTTCGAAACTGAAAAAAGAAAAGAAATTTAGTCCGAATCATCATTCCTTGATTCAGTTTTCGTTTTCAGGAGACGTTTAAAATATCTTTTTATAATAAAATTGCAGTTAGTGTAAGCAGGGTGGTGTTATTTGAAGAGAGTTATGCCAGGCAGGTAATCATTATATATAAGGTTTATGCATTACATAACATACTTACAGAGATATAAGAATAGTGATCATACAGTGTCAGTACATACATCATTAAAAATTGAGCCTTATTCTTATTTACTCTAAGACCCTTTTACATTTTTGCTCAAGCATTGTAACTTGGCCTTAAAGGGATATGGCCCCATTACACTGCCAGAGCCTTACTGTAATTGAGAATCAAGCCCAGCACATTTATTCATCTCACTATGAGCCTTTTGCCGAAGTCTATGTATGTATTTATTTCTTTAAGAACATATGGTCTGATCCTGCAGTCTTTGTGCACTAAATCTCCCATAAACATCAAGGGAAAACTTGAATGTGCAGAGATAGCAGGAGTAGACCCAGAATTAACATTTAAAAAATTTATAACACACTGATGATTGTCAACAACAAAAGATAAATCCTATATTAAAATCTAATAAGCAGAACAAAGAGGAAAACTCAAACACTATCACCAACCAATTAAACATTTAAAAAATAGCATAGAATTAGAGAAAATTAAACAGTAATAAGGCATTTTACAGACACGGCCCCAGATTCAGCAAAGCATTTAAACAAGTGTTTAACTTTAAGCATGAGTAATCTATCACTATTTAACAGACCACCTAGGTTCTTTATTGTATTGGGTCCAATGAGAACAAAGTCCCTTCCCTGAAGAGTTTACTGTCTAAGAAAGGGGTTGCCAACTTTAATATGTGGCTCCTTGTATAGGCACCGACTCTGGGGCTGGAGTTACAGGCGCCAACTATCCAATGTGCCAGGGGGTGCTCACTGCTCAACCCCTGGCTCTGCCACAGGCTCTGCCCCCACTCCACCCCTTCCTGCCCCCTCCCCTGAGCCTGCTATGCCCTCACTCCTCCCCCTCCAAGCCTCCTGCACACTACGAAACAGCTGATTGGGAGGTGCGAGGAGGGAGGGGAAGGTGTTGATTGGTGAGGCTGCCAGTGGGCGGGAGTCGCTGGGAGTGGGGCGGAGCTGATGGGGGGCTGCTGATGTATTACTGTGGCTCTTTGGCAACGTACATTGGTAAATTCTGGCTCCTTCTCATGCTCAGGTTGGCCACCCCTGGTCTAAGAGCTTACAGATGAATGATGACGAATGGCATACAACTAAAAGCAGTGATTTAGTGGTGAAATGGAGGAAGCTTCTTGGTGCTATGACTTTGTTGTTTGATTCTGTTGTTGGCAAGGGAAGAATGAAAAGAGATGGGAGTGGAGGGATAGGCAGGAACTACGCTGCATGGGTTCTCCATACCCCCAACAACTATCCTATGGTGAAATTATTCCGTATACATAGGACCAGCACTTGGCCTATAAACCTCTTAAATCCCACATAAGCCCCTACGCAGGGGTGCATTTCACTCTTAAAGATGTTGTGACTAATACCGCTATGCCTCTGTCAAGCCTGAGGAGGTGATGGGGGTAGCCACTGAAAGGTAAATCCCTCTGCACGGAAAGGGAGCAGGAAGAGGTAAAGGCTCATTTGTGAACTCTTCTGTTGCTGCATTCAAATATCTCTTATTAGCTTTTTTAAAAATTCAATTGTCCTATCAAAGTTCCGCTACTATATGTTAAAGATACCCTTCTGGTAACATTGTGAGGTCTCATTGATCCTAGGAGACTAGGCAAACAGAGGGGGATGACGACAAATGCTAACTTGGGCTCCTTTTTAATACGTCCCATTGCTTCAGGGCTGCTGTTGATTTATTCTTATGTTTTTCAGAGGAAAGGGAATATATTTGGTCATTTTAGGCTGGAATATACTACCAGTCACGTCCTTCATTTTCAAACTGATCAAATGGCATTTGCTAAATTATATTCCTCAGAGTCCTATTCTGACAATGCAGTGCTATTTGCGTCTCTGTGCGTAATCCTATGTATGCAGCCATGTTCCAGTCTGATCTGTTCTGGGGTAAATCAGACCAGTGAGGAAGGGAGGAAGGAATCATCACCAGCTCCACAAGTTGGAGTTTTGGAGCTGGTGGAGCTTTTTGGGGTAGTGTCATGGAGAGAGAATACTGTTTTCCCTATTCTTGTCCCTTTCCTCTCCCCACACAAGGGCCATGGAAATTACTATAGACCTAGGGCTGACATATGCATTAAAATATACTATAACTATTTTAATCTGCTGTGCGGTATGATCAATGGGGATAGGGTCACATTTCTCCTGGTTTTGTATTGTATAGAAGTAAAGAATGCTGGTTATCTCTTAAAAGATCTCTGTAGAGCAAGCAACAATTCTCCAACCATAAGAGGGATGGTCTTGTGCTTAAGGTACTGGATTGGCAGCTGGTAGCTACCAGATCTGGATTCTAGTCCCAGCTCTACCATAGACTTTCTGTGTGATAAGCTTCAGTAAGCCACTTGCTCTCTCTGTGACTCAGACCCCTCTTCTGTAGCATGAGGATAATAACTGAAGGGATAGCATAGCCTTCAGGCTAAACTTGATAATGTTTATAAAGTGTTTAGAGATTCTTAGGTAGAAAGTGCAGTGGAATTGTGAAGTACAAACTACTGAACACTTCACAATAATTTGTATGAGACTGCAATTAAAAAATATGACTCGTGTTTTCTACAACTTATAAATGTTTAAGCTTTCTTACTGGCTGTGTGTAGAAGCTATTCATAATTTATAATAAGGAAAGGGGAAAATTGTTCTCATTAGCCAAAAGTGAAAAGATGAGAAATAATGAGTTGAAGCTGCAGCGAAGGGCGTTTTGATTAAATAAGAAGATACTTCTTAATTAGAAGATCTACTAGGAAGTAGAACATGTAAGAGAAATGGTGAAATCCCCAGTAATGAAAATAATCAAATCCATATTAGCCTGGAATATATACCCCTTATTTAAGTTGGTGAATACTTAGTCACATGATTGACTTCAGTCCCTCTGAAGTCAATCAGACTACGTATGGGAGTAAGTGCCCACCAGTGTGAGTAAGGGGTGCACAATCTAGGTTATTACAATCACATTTTAAAAGGTTAAATTTAATTGAACTATCAAGATGTACACATGCACACAACAGGTGATCTTTTTAATAACCATTTCTCTTCCTCATCCCATCCCCACCTTACAGTTTGGCAACAGCATTCATCACACTGAATTTAAAATTACTAGACTAAACTCTTTAGAACAGTGGTTGTGTCTTATTTTTTCTATAAGGCACTTTGCACAATTTTGGGTGCTGTGAAATTAATAATAAATATTGTGAGTTTGTATTGGGATATGCAGAACATGCCACAGTACAGTGGATGTATAGATGACCCTCTAGGATCCCTTGAAATAGATAAAATATAGATTGGGGGGGTGGCAACAGAGTGTTGTAATAAATTCATCCCTTGTCATTTGTTATAACCTGTAGCATGTTGGGGATGGATGTGTACTGGCCTGTGAAAGTGTGTAATTACCAAAGGAATTTTCACTTGCAAAGCAGCATTTTCACTGGAGTCCCCTTCTTTTGACACTGTTTACACACAGTTAAATCACATTGCAAGAACATACATAATGACATCAAATTAAATGGGAGAGAATGAACAAGGAGACTTTGCAAAAGGGTAAATGGTTAAATTATGTGGAATTGGAGATGAGTAATAAAGGAAACTGGGGAGAATGGGTAAAGCAGGAAGAGAGATTAAGTTGACGTGGAGAGGGTGGGATTCAGAGAGCAATAAGCAGGGCAGGTTTCAAAAACAAACAGCCTTGTTTAATTCAATTAAACATTTTTGCAATTTTGGGT